TTCCAAATTCACTCACCATATAAGCTGTAATAATGTCAGCATATGTCAGGGAAACCCAAATTCAGAGACACATATTAGTTATCATAAAGCTTCCTCACAGAGAGGTACAAATTGCACCATGTAACAAGCACAACCTCTGCTGCTAAAGACTGCATCAGTGGTAATACTGTATCTCATAAGCATAAAAGCAGCTGTCCAGAGCAAAACAATGTTTTTTGTTTTGTCTTTTTTGTTTCCCCTTCACTGGCTGCCACCAACTGTCAGAATTCATGAACTTGCTTCTTTTTCTATATTCTTCCCACCTTCCTTAGATACGTATATTACTATATCTATTGCTACACTGGAGGCAGGGGATATTGATTTTATAGGAAAAAAAAAGTGTCACATTAAAAAAAAAAAAAAAGTGAACATTTTAGAGCACTATCAGAAATTCTCTGAAGAAACTGGGGTGTTTGGGACATTTTTGCAATCTGAACAGCTCCACTTAGTGGTCAAGAATACACTGACCCTCTCCCTTCAGTTTTTAAATCCTTTTCAGGTCAGTAATGCTTAGATTAAATAAAGCCAATAGATGTTACAAAATACCTGGATGTTGAAATGGAGATGCACAGAGCCTATTATTACTAATAAAACCCATTAAAAGACATAACATTTTAGAGTGTTAGATGAATGTGATTAAGTCTGTGTTTGCACTTTGCTTTAGTTTATTTCCAGTAGCTCTTCCCCAAAATGAGTATGCTGGAAATGATGCTCTCAGACAAAACCAACTTTACGTGCAAGTTTGTTATTCTCACAAGAGCATGTTCTGGTTGTAAAACCCATAAGTAAAACACATTTTACTTATTGAGCATAGTTAAATACATAACACAAGTGAAAAAAAACCAAAAAACCTACACACACAAAACTCACATAACCTCACACATAAAACTCACTTGCATTTTTTTCCTTATAGTGTCACTGGTCATATAAGTCCATATTAAAAGTAAAATGAAAATGTCTTCAGAAGCTTCAGGTCTGTTACGTTTGGGATCACTGCCCATGTGCAGGGCTGTGGTGATGCTCTTTGCTTTCTGCTGAGTTCTTTAACAATGTGATACTGCTTTTATCAAAACATATTGGAATCATTTGAATGCTTATTCAATGGTATCTATATAAAGGAATAAGGTCAAAATTACTATTTTTTAAATAAAGCTCCTTCAAAAAGGACTATTTTAGAAAGTAAACTATTGTTTTTTTCCTCTTAAACACAAAATATCCCTATCCCMATGCAGTTATCCCCTGTGTCCTGTATTCTGGAGAAGGGCAGTGGGTGACATGCTCCGAAGCAGGTTTACCAAGCAGGTGGCTGCTTTCGGGACTGGCCTCAGTGTTTGATCTTGGTGATGTAGTTGAGTGCATAATGCTAAAGCCTTTAAGCATGAGATCAAAGGAAGATTCCCTGCATTTGTTACATTCTCCAGTGAAGTGAGATAAAAATGCAGAGCCTGGATTGTGTCAGCATGTTTGCAAAGTTTTTGTAATTGTGACCTATGGAGGCCTGCCTGCTAATTGGGAATCTCTCCCATCGTTAGGATTTCTGTATAGGCATTGTACGTACTCTGTACAAGAGCTTCCAGAGGATATGAGGTAAATGTATTGTTTGCTGTAGACTTCAGTAGACTGCATTTTTCTAGACATCTGCAGAACCATCAGGTACTTTTGTAGAAGCAAGGCTTTTGTTCAGAAGCATGGCTGCTTTTCTGTTGTGCTCCTTCATGAAAACGCAGAGCTTGTTCTACCAAGTGTGCTCCTGACCAAGCTGCAAGCAGGAGTTAGCATTAGCATTCTAGCCGCTTGGGCACTGTAATCCCTGTGTGCATGCAGTTCTTCCATTAATGATCCCATTTTGTTTTAAATGAAGGTAATAGCCTTCTCCACTATAGCCTTGATTTTAAAGTGGCATAAATAAAATGTTTTACTCCTTGAAATATTACCAAACAACAGAAAATAGACTTAGTAAAAAGGCATAGAATTTGCCTCTGATGGAAAAAACAATTCCAGTGAAGTGCTCCATGACCTTTTAATGAGCCAATGCATTGTGCAAGCTGGTATGTCTTGGATGGACTTTTCAGTGGACGTTGTGCATTGGATCAGAACAGATGATTTATATTTTGTGAGGTTAGGAGGAAGATAAAACGGTACGTGTTCTGTTTTCAATATAAGTGACCTCTGTTGAATAAATTCAATTGTAAAAGTAAATAGTATTTTCAGCAGTAAAAGTAAATTTATAAAATTTACTTAAAATTTACCTAAAAAAGTAAAATTGTAGAAGTAAATAGTATTTTCAGCAATATTTGAAAGCTAAGCTTATGCATCAGTAATTTCACTTCATTAGAATAACTTTTTTTTTTTTTATAAAGATGGTACTTTGAAGTATTAAGATTTTAAAAAATATATCTCTAAAAAAAAAGATTTAAATTCTGGAATAAAATTTATTTGCCAAACCGCTCGGTGACCCTGTGTGTGCAGGGGGTTGGTCTAGATGATCTTTAAAGGTGTCTTCCAACCTTGAGGATTCTATGATTTTATCATTTTTTTTTCATGGTTTCACTTTGGGATTGTATTGCATCCCACTGCACAGTGGAATGCATACAGGGGAAAAATTGGCTACATGTGTTAACAAGGTGAAAGTATCTGAAACAACAGCTTAACAAATGGCGCTCTAAAATTATTTATTTCATTATTACGTTGCTTGAGAGATGGCGAGGCACAAATTGCTACCTGCTGCTGAGTGACTGGGATGAATTCCAGAGCTCATATTCTTACAGAATATTTGTTTGTTTTTACAGTGGTGCTACTTCAGGTTAGTGTCTGAGGATAGTCAGGTATCTGAAGACATAAGCTGCATTGAATTCGCATGAGAATTGAGAACTTGACCAGTTTCAGTGCTTTCAACATCTCAGTGATTTTTTGGAAGCACTTGAGAGCACTTACTGGACTGGTAATTTGTGTCAATTATGTAACCTTGCATTTCCAGAAAATATTTTCTTTGGAAAATATAACTGTTCTATTTTTCAGCCAACAGAATAATCAGAAGAGCTGCACATCACCGTGTTTCATATATATAAATATAAACACTAGATTTATTAATTACTATGATTGAGTTGATCCAATTTTCCTTATTAATTTATTTCACTGGCATTTAGAAGATACCACTCTGCAGGAGAACTTCCACTGTGCTAGCAGGAGCTCTGCTGTGTGCTGCACATTCATACCACAAAAGATGGACTGAGTCCAAGTTGTCTTTGCTTGAATGGGGCAGTAAGAAAAAAAATATTCTCCATGCTCCATACTTTAATCTAGAGCCTTTTTTCTCCAGATGTTTTGAAAAATGAGAATCCATACAGTTTCACTTATACAAATCAGCATTGATAATCAATGCTCTCAAGTAGAACTTACTTTCAAGAGCAGACTATCAGTGTAAAATCTCTTAGAATTTCTGAGCTGGACAAACAGGCATTACTGCAACATTGTCAAATTGTGTTTTAGTTCTAAAATGTATAGTGTGCTTGSTCAGTTCCTATTTCCTCCATTATTGCACGTTTCAGGTATAAATTAGTTCAAAATCACCAAAAAAAAAAGAAAAAAGATAGGATGGATAAGTGTTTTTCAACATCACAAAGTCACACTGCTTTCAATTTTGTATAGATGCTTGTTGTTTTGTATTAAGAAACTGAAGTGCTTGATTGCAGATATCCTTTCTGTTTCATAGAGGCAAGCAGAAAAGTAATGATGGTTAAACATAACACTTTGTCCTTGGCCAGGTTAAGTGCTATCTGCAGCAATATCTGCCCTTTGAAAGCAAAAGCTAATGTTTTGTTCCAGAAGACATTTCAACAAGAACTTAATCACTTCTGTTTCAAAAGGACACATTTATTACTGCAGACATCATAGCTCAGGAGCAAGAGATAAATGTAGAAATGGGCTGCTAGAACCTGCCTTCTGCAAGCAGCAGACAGCACAAATGTTTTCTGAAGGTTAAATGAAGCAAAACCAAAATTGATAGTAAATAAATTGGAAGACTGAAAAGATTACTGAACAAACAGCAATCACAAATAGCATTATGCRGTCTTCCTTTCCAAGGAAAAGCGGCATGCCGAGTTTCCTGAACTGCTCATGAGWCTGTGATGCATCATACCCCCATGCGTGGCAGTCATTTTATATAAAACAAAATTAATGTGCCTTAATTTGAGAGACACTGCATAATAAAAAATCCAGAGGTTAATATTTTACATGTGTCAGAAAACTCTTCTAGAGCTTTTTTTAAATTGTAAATTGTCCCATTCAGAAAGCCTCAAGTACTAGTTAACACAAGTGAGCAGTCCTTCTCCCACTTAGAGTGCCTTACTGTGGCAAAGGCATACATTTTGGTGCCTCATATATTCATATATATATATATATATATATATATAAAAGTATGTATGTATGCTCATATATAAGCAATCTGTATTTTCTTAATTCAGAGATAGTGGAGATCCCCAGTAAGTATGCCAAGTATGCAGGCCTTGCATTATGGTTTATGTTCCCCAAAGTCCTTATAAACAAACTAATTAGATGTATTAAAAAATGTAAAATTAAAAGTACAGAGTTTTCCAATGTTTGTTTAATAAATGCCTTGTTTTCAAAGAGTGTGCTAAAATATGCTTTTATCAAATGCCCTCTGCTTGTGTACCACAGGTATATATAATCTCTGTTCCACACTTTTTATTTATTTTAGTAAGAAGATGTTTCTCCAAGCAATTACTGCAAAAACATGACTTTAACACACATATGATTCTGATCATGGTAGATACATGTGTGTGCACAGAGGTGTGCAGGGACTGCAGTAGAATTGGTTTTCCATTACTGGAATTTTGAAACAGCATGTGTAAATAAAAAAAAAGGAGGGGAGAATTTAAAAACTAGTCAACCGGAGAAAAATGTTATTTTTTTGTCTTTTTTTTTTGCATTTTCTCTTTCAGATCTGTGATAAAGAGTGGCATTACTATGTTGTCAATGTTGAGTTTCCCGTTGTTACCTTATACATGGATGGAACAACATACGAACCTTACCTGGTGACCAATGACTGGCCTATTCACCCTTCACACATAGCCATGCAGCTAACTGTCGGTGCTTGTTGGCAAGGTAATGCTCTGACAGTAGATATGCTATAGGCATTCTATAATTCAGTCTGCATAGAATTTTGTTTCATTGTTTGCATATGAGTAATATTAATTGCTGATATTGATTAATGAGTTTTAGAAGTCAATGATATAAAACTGGAAGTAAATCTAGGCTCTGAGCCTGAAAGAAATCGAGTCTGAGGGTAAAACAGAGGGGATCATAGACATGCAAGACAAATTTGTATAGGAAATTACTGTAATAAACTGTAAGAATGCATATATATGTMTAATTGCAGTATTTAAAAGTCCTATGTCATTTAAAGAAGTATGGAATCCAGTTTGCATATTAAATAAGAAAGATTATCTTCTGTATCTTTTGTCTTCACTGTTTAAACCACTTGCCTGCGTTTCCAACCTGAAATGAGCCACCTAATGCTACTGCAGAAATCCCCTGCAACTCCAGCTGTGTCTGTTTCATTCTCTGCATGAATTTTCTGTCATTGCTTTCACTACCCATGGCTTGGTCCTGCTGTCTTCACACTGGATGTATATCAGCAGTAATACGGCTAAATTCATATATTCTAGTACAGAGCAGATTTAAAAGGGACAGTTAAATAAAACCAGAATTCATATTCTCAACACTGTACTTGTGTAGGTCCATGTTTAAATAACAGCTTTGCCTTGCCTTTCATAATTCGCCTCTTTCCTTCTCATTCCTGTGCATGGGCCTTTCACCACTGACACTGATTCATTTTTTGTTCTCTGCCTTACCGAAGCTGTCGTCCTTTTCTGCTCAATTGCCTCTGCAAGTTTTCCTGGTTATCTTTACATGTTAATCTGCTATTTGTACACTGTATTCTCTTTTTACATAAGACAGTAACAAAATGTGAAGTTAAACTATATAACTAGGAAAAAATGTTTCTTCCCCACACTCCAGTACCCGTTGTCTTCTTACCTTGTTTGCCACTTTGATAGGTTCTCATTTACAGTATGTTGCCTCTCAAATTTGGGCATCTTACATTTGCTAGAGCTATTCAGTGTAAATATTATTATTCTCAATTCCAGCTGTTAGTTTATAAACACCTGTGGTAGAGATCCTATCTTTAATGTAAAAACACAGAATAAGGCCACATTGGTCTTACAAAACAGATTTGATGTTTCAGTACTGATCAATCAGGTGAATAGAGCTAACTAATTAGCATGAGACAATGAGACACATTTGAACAGGTGTACACGGATCCTTGTCTAATTGGTATTCCATTTTCATATTATAATCCTTTTCATATTGGAACTTTTCACTAATGCTAGCTATTAGAATAGTTTTATCCTGAGCTGCTAAGACTCTTAAGAAATCTTTCTTTTTTACCTAAAAATAAATAATAAAACGCATGCCAAACTCCTCAGACACCAGAACTTCAACTTAACCAGTGATTTACAGTGTTTTAATTTGAGATCCTAATGTAGTTTTAATGTACTATCTTTAAATCCAAGTTCTGGAATTTACAAAGGCAGAGACCATTTGTGAACAGTAAATCCAGTTCTTTCCAGACATCAGAAGATGCTTTAGAGACTCAGTGAGTATTGTCTTCTGAAAAGCCATCAGCATTTCTCAGTAGCACTGATGAAGTCGCCATTATTCCCTTATTTACTCCTTTATTCCCTTTCAAAAGCCATATATTCAAGAATGGAATAAGCAGACYGAATAGCTTTTTTGACTGTTGATGGTTTCAGTGAGCTGTCTCTATTAACGATAATTTACTTCTGTCAGTAAGARTAATTCCAAAGCTTTGCATTTGCAAAGCATTAGCAAATTGTTTCACAACAGTCTGTGACTTCTTCAAGTAGCCATGTGCTGTGATTCTGGTGCTTGTAATGCAATGAGCCATTCATGGGAGTCCTTATCAAGGCAGAGCTCTATCTGCAGCCATTCAGGTGAAATACAAGAACAGCTCAAGTTTGGTTCTTGAACCTAACACAGAAATGAACTAAAYGTGCAATTCCTCGGACTTCCTGATAAATTTAAATTTCAGTGTATGACATGTACAGTATCCTATCTGCAGGACCAATATCCTATCCGTGATTTAGGTTGCTCTGTATTATGGGGAAACAGTAATAAATGATTTTCCCAAATGTTTTACCCATGTAACCCACACAATTGCTTTTTTTTCCCTGACATTAGCAGTCGAGGCATAATGGGCAGGTCTCACTGTTACCCCACCTTGCCAGTGTATGGTGTGCATGCCTGCCTGATGTGAGTGTTGGGGATAGCATGCACTACAGCAAGCTTTAGCTGATTGCTACTGTATTCAAGGTATAAGATATAAAAAAATTACATTTTTTCCCCTTTTTTTAGAAGTTGAGTTGGGAGGGGGATTTGAGGAACTTTGTTGTCATTTTAAATCAGGAATTTAGTTCCCCTACTTGTGCCATGTTACTGCATCACTATGACTGATGATCCTTCGAGCAGCTAAAATCATGACTACGCATTGGCACAGGTATTAAATGGAGTTGTTAGAGGCACTGCTTTTATTTCATTGATTATAAATCTGGCCATCAGAATTTACTTTCCATAGCTGAGCAGCACTGTCCATATAAACCTCTTCTGTATAAATAAAAAATAGAACTTTGCCCTTAGGTAAGATCTTCCAGCTTAAGAGCCTCAAGAGCTTTCCCAGCAGTAAAACGGTAACTCAGTTCACTAGCAAGAAAATGGAATTATCCTTATGATGTTATGAGGAATAAGAGGTTAGGTGATTTTCCTTAGGTCACCTGAAAAATCTGCATCAGAACAAGAATAAAATTAGACTGCCAGATTCCTGCTCTTCACCTTTCAGCCAGCAAATCATTCTCAGTCCCCCTTTTAACTTTTCCAATCGTGTTTCATTCTCCTAAGCAATACAAACAAATAAGGTTAGCTTATCCTGGAGCTGCACTTTCCAGCAGCTTACCCTACTAGGTTCTTCTCTGACAAAGATCATTATTTTTCATTCAATTTATCTGAGACCAATGGAACTTCTTACAGAATGAGAAATTTCTTCCATTAAGACAAGGCTTATAGGTTCTTACTCCTATGCTTACACTCCTAATCATTCTTTCACTGGCAAAGATGGGCAGAAACAGGAACAAGTTACCTGATTTGGTAGTCTAATTATCTTATATAGCACAGAGTACGAACAGATTTCCTTCAGGTTTCTCTGAAAAGATCTTGAGTTCCACTTCCACTCTACCTGAAGAATGGACTGTTTTTTTTATGCATCATTCCCAGAGTGCTGTCAGGACAGCAGTGACACAAGTTAATTGCTGTCATAGGGTTTTACTTAGTGCTTAGGCTACTGTGATGATTACTTCATGTTTACTATTAGACAAGGGTAGAAAGGCCTAAAATGTCTCAAAGATCAGTAAAAGTCATTTGACAAAAACGCATGACTGTGTTAAATTGGTAAATTAATGCAAATAGCCCTTTACATCTCTGGCATCAAAACACAGCAATTGTGAAATACAGTGATAATCAACTTCTGTCATCCTTCAACCCAAAATGGAAAGAAAGAAAAAAAAAAAGAAAAATAGCCACCTGCTCCAGTGATGAATGCAACATAACCCCCTAGAGACCCTGAGAATCTGCCGGTTCCCCAGGACTCCCCACTATCGTGCACAGCAGAACCTCCTGATGGTTGGGGTCAGTGTTAGCTGAAGGACAGTCCTTAGCCTCCCCACACTGTGACTCTCTGGTGTACTTCGGATGCTAGGGTCAAGGTAAGTATATGCTAGAAGCATTTGTCTTTCTGCGCATGTATGAGGCAGTCATCCCGATTTACTTGCCCATACATACGACGAGTAGGTGTCTGCAACCTACTATTTCAAAATTCATTTTATTCTTGGTCTGTTGTGTTTGAAATTACATGAACCAACTGCAGCTGCTTATGACTGTCTAGGAATATACCAAGTATGATGATATTTTAAAGTCTTCCTATCACTCGCAGCTTGATCACGCCCCACTACGGGCTGTTGTGCACGTGCAGCATATGTTCCTTTGTGGTGKTTTTTTTTCTCTTCTCCATGTTTGGTGCTAGTGTTTGCTCTCCCCATTCTCTCCACCAGTGTTCATGAAAAGTCTTTCACTCAGAAATGCTTTACCAAGCTGAGCCCAGGTAAAGTTCTAGTGGGATGGAGCCCACTGTCTGTTGTAGATGAGCTGGCAGAAAAGACCTGATGCAGCACAGAATAGGAAAAGAATCCCAGAGCAGAGAACTTGTTTCAGCAGCTCAGGAATGTGATAAAAGCCACTTCAACAATGACTAAGCAATGAGCAGCATTGCAGTGAAAGATGATGTTATATTGACGGTTCCTCTGGCTGCCTCCCACAGTCTGTTGACACCCTCTCCCCATTATGAGGATTGAGCTAATGCCAAAAATTGCAACATCCACCCATCTGTATCTGGCGGATTTGGGGAGTGGAAGTAAGTGCTGTGTCAGGTGAAAAGGCAAGGCTCCATTTTATCATCAGAGTCTGAAAACATTATGACCTCTGTTGCTTTGCAAATGTAAGAGACTACAACATTTACATTTAAGGAAGAAAAGAAACAACAACTGAGAGCTGTAAAGCAGAGAGTCTGTAATAAGAATGTCATTCTATTGAATTAATTAATTCTATACTTTCTAAACATAAAACTGAAGTTGTGCAGTTATTTTAGAAGTAATATACACCATTTAAAACTCAAAAACTCACATGAGTTCCTTACAGGACAGATGAATTTAAGAAATAATTACATAGGTCAAAGACATTAATGGCTCCAGATGATCAGTTGGCAGTTCCTTGTATATCACCTCTAAGTGCATTTTTAAAAGCAGAGTTTGGGCTTGGTGAGTACTCTTCATATGTATTATTTTTTTCTACTTAACAATGCAGCTCCTAACTATTGAGAGGAAAAAAAGTGGTTGCATTTTATCTTCTGTATCCACATTACAGTCTAGGTCAGTTTGCTGTTTTCAGCTTTCCATGCTAGCTAAGCAGCTGGAATGAGAGGGTACATTTGGGGGGGGGTTCTTACCAAACCACTAAGTGGCCAACATTGAGATGAACCAAACTGACAATGACTGAAGAAATGTATGGATGGAATACAAGGAGATTTAGTCTTTAGCTCTCTCTCTTGAATGTGGGGAAGGGATCTGGGATACCACATCATTGAAAAAAAAACTTGCCAATAAAGTAGATATAATTCAATGCACATAAAGAGTTACAAATTGCTCTATGTAGGTGACAACCTCAAATGGTAAGAACTTTTTGTTCTTACCTTCTGGCAAGTAAAGTTTATTGGGATGTTTTGTCTAGTACAGAATGAAGATAAGCACTTACTGAGCTGCTGAGGGTGCATCCATGTAAGTATCAGTTTGGATCAGGACCACACGTCCAGCAAGTAGCACCTTCTTGTCCTCACTTACTCTGTGAGCACTGTCAGAGCACATGAACTGGATTCCTCCTGGATGCCACTAAATGGGAAATGCACTCCAGGAATGTACCTAATATATTCAAACTCGAAAGGTGTGCTTTGTTCATGGCACCAACCTAGAGCTAGTCCAAAGTGGAAAAAAATACCACCACAAATTATCCAAACCTGCCATGCCTCTGCATCACTGTCAGCATCAATCATGTTGCTCTGTGGATTCGCTTCAGTTGCTTCATACTATTTGCAATTGTCAAGCACAGGGCAGAAGTCTTTGTGCCATCTTCTTGTGTATTCCTTTGTATATTTTAATGAACTAGTTGCATATTTAAATACGTACCTTATCTGAGGTTGCTTCTCATTTTGCATCTCCTTGGATCTGTTAAGATCTAATGGAAGATTTAATATAGTTTTCTGCATTTCAACGCTCCATAATTAGTGTTGGCATTTTAGCCTTGGAACTTGGGCTCTTCAGACTTCTGTTAGGCATTGAGAATAAATAGAACTTTCTTTTTGGCTGAAAAGTCAGTGTCCCTGTAGCATACTACCTATTTACCAAATAATTATCTTTGTAAGTATCAGAAAGTCCTAATTACTGTAGGAACTAATCCTGTACTATAGCTGCTGAAGACACGAAAGTTTCTATGAAACTTCCAAAAAGTTGTGCCCAGAAGTCTTATGTAGAATTCACAGAGGAATGAAAGGCTGGAAAAGAATAATATTTGAAGATCTTTCCTTGGAATACAGAGAGAAACAGTTTGTTCTGCATTGTTAACATAAAAGACTAAAATCTAACTCTTTTTATGAAGCAGTAGCCCACCTTGATACCAATGTACTTCACTACATTGAAGTATGTAAAATAACTGTAGTCTTCTTCATAAAGCTTGTACTACTAAGAGTTGGTTTTCAGACCCTTAGGTTGCAAGAGCACCTGAAGGTAAACTTGTCACTTTGTTCCGGTCTTAACCCCACTCCACATACAAATCTTCAAATTAAAGTTCAAGCTAGCTGGCCTGGCAGAATTAGTTTATTTGCCACATAAGCTACAAACCCTGTAGAGATAAGATACCTACCACTTGCCACATCTTATCAACTGCAAATCTAATTTGTCTGTCTTCACTGTTGTATGGTTCTCTTACTCCTCTCAGGTCCAAGGTATGAAGTAATTCACATACACTGACACAAGCTAACACTTGTAGGGAAGACACGCACTAAAAATTTTCCTAGAGRATGATGAGTAAATTACTAAATATCCCAAGAGTAATTTAGATGCTGTGATCACTGTTGCAGGCAATAATCACATTTTATTGACAACTCCTAAAGCTCAATCTTTCTGCAGAGATTTAGGCAGAATAGAGTGCAGCTAGAGCACCTAATGCAGCACACAGTGAAGAGACATGATCTGGTATTAAATGCACTGGGTTGGGTTAAAGGAAAACTATAATCCCTCTACCCTAATGCTATGCATTGTCTTGTATTCTCTGCTGAGAATTTGCAGCACACCCTTAGAAACGATGCTTGGTACAGAACGTGGCAGTTTGGTTACTCAAGCCATGCCACCTCTCTGAGCACACCTGCAACCTTTGCTTCTCCGGTGATATGTTTGGGGAGGAGAGAAGGAGAGCCYGTGTAAATGATCTTCTATTAGACAGTCTGTATAAGTGAATGTARAGCCTTAAACATTCTTAAAAATTCATGTTGATCACTCACAATACTCTGCTCACTCAGATAACCTTTTGAGGGAAATCATTTAATTTTGCTAGCCTAGTCAAAATGTCAAAGTAGCCAAATAGCTTTCTTTTCTACACTTCTGAAAATGATTATGTTCATTCTGACACAGCTATGGGGTTGCAAAAGCACGAGGCTAAAATTGGTATCAATTCTTTAAACATATATTAAAGCATTTAATTTACTGTATACTTCTTTTTTGTGTGTATTTGCAACAGTAATGACTTTGTTTTTCTCTTTGCAGGAGGTGAAGTCACTAAGCCCAGATTTGCTCAATATTTCCATGGCAGCTTGGCCGGTCTTACTATCCGGCCTGGCAAAATTGAGAGTCAGAAAGTGATTTCCTGTTTGCAGGCCTGCAAGGAAGGTCTGGATATTAATTCTCTTGAGAGTCTTGGACAAGGAATAAAGGTGAGGAATGAACTAACATCATCTTTGATAAAAATTTAGAGCTGATTTATGAAATGGAGAGCGCAAGGTAAAGTACACCCAGTACAAATGTACTCCCAGAAGGAATATAATTTCCCATAAAGTCATGCAAAAAAAAAAAAAAAAACAGTATAGGAGTTGTGACATAGCAAAGAAAAATGGTTCCATTATTTCAAAGTTAGATGCTCAGAAAATAATGTGCTGCTGCTATTTCGGAGTCTGTAAGAATCTCCAGGTCGTGTGCCTATTCTTATTTTGGTACCTCTGCAGAAAAATGGTTGCAAAGAATTGCTGAATTTTGATTTGAAATAACTCTAAAGCAACAGACAACATATACAGTCTCTCTCATGCAGAAGCAACTCGAAATAAGTTCAAAAGTAGTAAGCTTGAAAAAGGAATTCCAAGAGAAAAACTATGTTATGGGATACTAAAGTTGAACAATAAAAGATATCAAGGTCAAGAGTTTACATTTCCATACAAACCATTACCCATCCTTATTATGCATATGACATATATAGTGCATGTAAATCTTTACTGATGCAGTCACACTCTTTTAAGACAGGATACCAATAGACAAAGGAAAATTGTGTTTCCAGTGACTCACCAGCAAGATTGCTTTGCCTTCATAGAAACAATTTCTTTTGGGTAAACATAGAGATTGTTGAATCTTCTCTAATGTTTACATGAACAGCATTTTTCTTTACTGATGTAGCTATTAGGTGACAAGTATTCTTTTGTCTAATGTGTATACCTATCCATCTATATTTCAGTAAGCTGGAAAACTTTCTGATGTATTCTAAAGGACAGTTAGAATTAAACTATTTTGTAGTACACCAGTCATAATCCAGTCTTCCATAGCTGTGCTGCAAATTAAATAAATCAGAATTACTGGGAGGTTAATTTGACTGAATGTGGGCCTTAGAAACAACACATTTCCTTTGGTGTTTCGTTTTTCAGGGGATAGAAGGTTGGTAATAAAACACCTGAGGTAGCATATGCTGTGAAAGTGCTATGTAATACATTTGTAGTAGCTAAAGCACTTCAGCAAACTCTCAAATCTTTAAGTAATAAAATACAGTAGTATAGTATAACCAATATACTTCTGAAGACCAGGATGAAAACTCAAATTACAAATAAAATTTATGAAGGTGTTGTTTTGTTAATGTTAGCTTTTACTTATGAACAAAGACTCTCCAAAGTAATTCTTTTTACTTYGTCATATCAAGGATGTCATTAAAGAATTGCACATTGCTGCCCCTCTGTGCAAATGATATAGGTAAAAGGTCTTTTAAAATGTCAATGCACACAATGAACACAATGTTTTTTTCTTTAATTTTAGGAACTTAAGTATTTATTTTAGGAACTCAGTAAGATATGCATACCAGCTAGGATTTTAACATGATTTAAAGCAGTATACATTTAGTGGAGAGTGTTTTTTAAAAACACAGTAATTCCTCCCTTATTGTCACTTTCCAAAATTTGAAAATATTCAAAGAATTTGCTGTTTTGTGGGATTGGAGGAATCTGTTAAACCTCCCACTGTTGCTCCAGCATGAGTGATTGCCTTTCTTCTGTACTTATAGCACCAAGTGAAAAATGAAGATGAGGGTTTGTTTCCCTCCTTTTCTTCAAAATGTTTTCCAAGCTACAGAAAAGGCAGAGTGATTCTTTAAATTTACTGCTCTAATTTTTACCTCTTCAGCTAGCGCAGCAGTCAGTGTTAACAGCAGGAGGGAAAAATGAAAGACATGGGCAGAGATACGTGGTGGTAGGGTTTCTTATTGGGGGTGACAGAAAGCAGCTCACATAAAAGATGAACAGTGGGCCCCTGACCTTCGACAGAGAATTAAAAAGAGTTTCTGGTGTCAAAAATAAACATACCTAAAATCAGACAAGCATGTTTGATATTTTTTCTGTGAGTATTTGTGTGGCATTTAGTAGACTTGATATTGGGAGTTTTAACCAGTCACTCTGGACTCCTGAAGCATCACCTTTATAACCACCTAGAAAAGTCCAGTGCAGGTGTAATGCAATTTCTTACATAGCAGTGTTGGATTCTTTGTTATGTCTGCAGTCCAAGTCCCTAACAGCTTTCAGAGACACTGTCTAAACTGTCGCTATTTTTAGCTTTTTTTAATGAGGAAGACAAAAATGGCTCAGACTAGGGCTTTCTCCAGTCCTTTTGGCAGCATTCCAGCGTTCAGCAGCTGAGCTAGTAAGTTAACTAGCTTGCTAGAGTTTCCTTTTGATTATTCTGTGCTGTTGCTAGTAGAAAAATAAAACAAAAAGTGCATGCAAATTGTGCCTAGCATTAGTTGTCTCCTTTGTTAGAAAATACCTTCAGGACACTCTGACCTTCCTGCGCAAGCCCTGAACCCAGCAGCCTCTTGTGCTTTTGACAGAGAACCCTGTGCTTCATTCTGTTCTTCAGAGGCTATTTGCTCTTTTGCTTTTTAACTCTTTGTAAGGTAGTGTAGACACTCACTGTAGATACATAATAGAACATGTTCCTACTCAGCATTAGGAATTGCATATGATAGAAGGGTGCAATTCTTTGTGTTCTGTGTTTTCAGCAGTGGAGGTGTGAGTTTAAGCAGAGTTAATTTGTTTTTCTGTGTAGCACAGTTCACTCAAAAAAATTAATAGACAAAGAAGGAATCATAATAAATTGTGATAAAGATAATAATCATTTGCTATACAGATACTGGTCATCAAAGCTGTTTGTTTAGTGGTTAATGCACAGGTAGGAATAGCTACTGAATTGGCACGGTGAGTCAGTGCAAATGAGCAGCTGGCTTTAAGCAAGCAGCAGTTCCATTTTAAATCATGACACCCCTTCTTGATCATGAGCCAGAGAAAACGGAATCCCCTTGATTGTGACTGACATTAATGAAGATGTAGCAGGAAAATATTAGAAACATTTTGTTCATTCATGTTGAAATATATCTCAAAAAGAGAGCCCAGGGTAAAACTAAGCAGAAAGCAGGACAAGTGTTCTTCTGCCTGCTACTCTCACTGAATGAAGGCACTATTTCCAGAATGGGAATATAGTTGACCTAAAAAATTATGTGAGAATAATAATTACAGCAAGTTATGGTTTTGAACTATACAGCTGTAAAATTCTATCAGCAAAGTTAGTAAAGGCTGGAAAAGGTAGAACAAATACAGATTTATATACTATAAAATTAATTACAGCATTAATAGGAAGGGATGACACAGATAACTGATAAGTGCATGTTTTGCGGAACACCATATGCGTTCAGATAACAACAGCTATTAGGAACCTTGCCCTTGAATTATTAGATTTTAGAGTTATCTCCAAGAGACACTCCTTAAAATGTGCTGTTCTCTACTCTGAATATGGTACCTTATATACTAATCATATGCATTTCTCCCAGTATCACTTCAACCCTTCCCAGTCAGTCCTTGTCATGGAAGGAGATGACATTGAGAAGATCAATCAAGCTCTTCAAAAGGTGTCATATATCAACTCCAGACAGTTTCCTACCGCAGGTGTACGGCGTCTCAAAGTCTCATCTAAAGTCCAGTAAGTTATACTTGAACTAAACTGATGAGAACCATTTTTAATTAATTATTTTTTTCCTCTGAAAATGTAAAAAAAGAGGCTTTGGTTGAAATTATATTGATAATTCAAGGTTTTATGTTACCAGCCGTAAGGCGTTACATTAATTTACTTTTAYGCTGAATTACTTTTTGGTTTTAGTTTGTTATTTTCCTTTTAAGAATCCTTTCTTGTGAATGTTAGTTAGTTGTGTTCTGTTTATAGTCTGAACTACACATGCAGTTACATTCTTAGTAAATAATGTACATTTTTAAAAAGCCACAGGTTATTGTCACAGCTGCCACCCTTACTTTTAAAGCTGGACTATTATAACAGACTCTACTTTCATAAGGACATTATGCCTATGCTCAAAATAGTGTTTGTCTATATCCTTAYGCGGCTGTCACTACCGAACTGTAAGTGTCTTGTGTTAAACAGAAATCTGTGTGCACGTCTGTTCTAACGCAACAATTGTGTGAGTATCTACATAACAGCGTTGACAGTTCTGTGCAGTGAAGGAGCTGCCACTGCACAGGCACTGAGCTCCCCTGGGCTGGGTCTGTTACAGCAGGCTGTGCAGTGCAGTGAGAGCAGATTTTGCTGAGTGAAAGAATTGGTGCAGAGAACGCCACAGCCACCCTCTCTGCAATTTTTCCTTGGCTTTAGGTTAGCCAAATGCTGTGGGCTAGCCAAAGTAAGAGTTTGGAGAGCATCTTCTCATTTAGTGTGCCAAGTTGCAGAAAGAGAGAGATATTAGAGAATTTTCTTCAAAAGCAAGGTGCTCGTTCAAACAAAAATGCTAATGCAGCCTCCCTTACCCCCTCCACCTCGTCTTAGGCAAAATTTGCGGAGTACAAGAATGAAATCATGACATATCCTATTTAAATGGATAATTAGGGCCTTTATTCACACATAACAAACATATTACGGGCACTAGGTACCACTTTGAGAACTTTGTTGGCTGCATTGCAATTCATTGTCACCATGTAATTTTTTTTCAACTGTTGACTGTTAAACATCAGTTAAGCACCAAAACGTTTCTCATAGTGACCTTACTATAGATTCAGTGAATTCGTTAAGCTTGTCATGAAGTCATTAAGCTGCCCCTACCATAATTCCAGTAGCTATAAATGTGGGAGTAGATGAGCAAAGCTGTTACTGGCAGTGCTAATCTGTGTGATGCTGCAGATATATATCCTTATATGTAGCAGTGTACGAACATGAAACAGACTCATCTGAGAAAATAGTGAGAAGCATCAGATAGATTTGGGGCAGTGGAAGTGCCATGTGCCTCTGATGTGCAAAGTGTTACATGCAGTTAATGAATAATGTATTTTTCAGATGTTTTGGTGAAGATGTCTGCATTAGTATCCCAGATATAGATGCATATGTAATGGTGTTTCAGGCCAATGAGCCCAAGATTACAGTAAGTGGAATGGACCACTTTGCTAGACCAGCTGCACAATTTGAAACTGAAAGAGGTGTTACTCTGTTACCTGATATCAGGATTGTCAGCACAGTCACTAAAATGGAGTATCCAGTGGACCTAAAAGAAAACGATAAAGGTTTGTATATTTATTTTAAATATTATTACTTATTCTACAATATTATAATAATATTAAACACTTATTCTATAATACAACCCCCCCCCCCTTATTTTTTTTAAAGGACAGTGCAAACAAGACAAAGGAATTCACACAAATGAAATTAGGCCACGTTAAGCAACAGTAATGTTCAGTACAAAGAAATATACTGAAAAGTTAACAAGACCTTATTCCCTTTCCTTACTCATTGAAGCCTATCTGTTATGTGCTTGATAAAAAAGCAGCTTTCCCATTCAGTGACTCTTCTGTTTCAAAATAATTCCCTCACACTACTGAAATCCTTCTCCATGTATTCTGTTGAATAACCTTTTTTTTTTTAGCATTGCTTAACATATTATTATTACTTATATTAATAGAGTGGAAARCAGTGATTGACAGTAGGTTGGAGTTGTAGTCTCTTCTGTTTCCAGCTACTGTTCTGCTACCATTTCCATGCTACTGACCTTTGGGTAAACTTAGGGTAAACTTAGTAAAATAGTCACCTTTTCCCTCAGTTTCCCACTGCTTCTTAGAAAACAGTAATCCTGTGGACGTCATTTGCAAATATTTTTTAAATGATGATTGTTTCAAAGGATGGAAAGTATAATATTCATTGCACTCATCTCAGGCACAGTAGGCACTTGCCCCAGGCAGCAGAATGGCCATGGCTCTGAGGCCAACTCTGTCTGTGCAGGACCTTGAGTGCCAACCTGTAGCTGTTTGTCCTGGTCCTGCAATCCAGCTCGTCCCTGTTTTCCAAATTCCTGAGGGCAGTTCCAGCCCCTCAGCCTCAGGGTGATTTGGATTTGCCTGTCCTGCAAGTTTGAGTTGGCTCTGAAGTTTTCACACAAGATGGAACAGTTTCTAGCGATATCTAGAGATAATATATCTAAACMCTCTGTGTCAGGAATTAGGAATCTAGGGCATAAGACTTCAGTTAATGCAATTATATGTACTCTAAATTGAGTCGTAAAATGGCTCACAATGCTAAGATTCCCATCTCTGTATGTGTGATGACAGTCTCAAGGAKCTAGTTCATCAATCTTGCCAGCCAGTTTGTGCTAAGTTAGCATGAGAATTAAAATACTAAAATGTACAAAAATATAAAATATATTTTGACCATTGGCACTCTTTAACCTTACTTACATATCAAAGGATACTCAGTTTCCAACTCATTTTCTCAAAGTCACATAAAGTAGGATCATGCCACTTAATACCATGTTCTTGGATAGACAACATAATAGTTCATGTAATGCAGAATGCTTAATGGGCCAGAGAGTAGCTGAGAAAATCACGCAAGYATAGACATATTTGAAGTGTTTATTTACTTCAGGTTTCCTTGAGACCTGGATAAATGTGCAGTACCAACGTGATATCAACACAGTAGTGAAAAGCAGAACTGTTAATGTGAATTTCCTTCCAGGATCAAATTTCAATTTATACTTCCAGCACTGTTCTTGAATGCCTTTTAGTGTAGTGCAGTTTATCTTCTATCTCTGTAGGCCTTTGTCATTCTTATCATGTGAGTAAGGAGAACACTTTACTTTCGATATGCTTCAAGTGGTCTGTGTTTAATATGAGCAAAGAATAATTCAGCCATCTTTGTGAAAACCGACAACTGAGCTATTCTGTGGTAATTTCTCTGAGATTCTTACTTCTTATGTTCACAGCAAATAAGCCAGTTGTATTAGAGCAAATGCTTCACAACCTGGATTTCTGTGATGTTTTGGTCATTGGCATGGAACTAGATCCTGAAAAAGAGTGTTTAGAACTAGATCATGAGGAGCTTCAAGGGAAACATCTAGATGCCACAAATTCCACTGCAGGATATTCAATCTATGGTATGTTCATGAACTGTCCCTAATTTAGTCCYACCAACAATTACATTCATGTTATGAAACAACACATTTTAAAGCAATCGAGCAGAAATCTGAGAAGTACTACACCAGGATGTATACCAGGATATATAGAAAAGATCATGTCTCCAGAAGTCTTGTATAATCTTGCTGTTTGGGTGTGCTATGTTTATCCTGTAGAATGCAGCACAGCCTTGCCTCAGTTCTGCACAACTCCTGCCACCCACCAGGAAACAGGGAAAATAGCAACTCTGCTTTTTATAAGGAAGTTTGAAGTTCTTGAGGACCATTACTTTGGCACCTGCAAGCGCACGGTGCTCATAGCTCATTGACTACTTTTTTTTTCAATTACAAAGTAATTTATTGTAAACCTTTGCTGTTGTCATTTTACCTCTCTGCTATGGACRGACATTAATTTGCAAAAGCTACTGTCACATAAGTTAGTATGGGATGGTGTCAYTATCAGGGCCTATTTTATGTACTACTATTTTCAGCTTGTTCTGGCAAATTTTGTATTTCCTCTGAACATTTGACTTCTCCTAAACTGCACCAAGAACTTTCTACATAGCATCTCTTTCTGATTATTACCTGCTTTGCTACTGTTTCAGGCGTGGACACCATGCACAATTATGAACAGGTTCTTCGGCAGATTAGGTATCGCAATTGGTACACTTCTGCCACCTTTGACAGAAAGTTCAGAGTGAAGTGCTCAGAGCTAAATGGACGTTACACCAGCAATGAATTTAACCTGGAGGTAAGCAATGATTCAGTCAAACTTTGAGGTTGAGGACCAGTCTCATCTTCAGACCCACACTGAGTTTTAAACTTCATTAGAAAGACTGGCATATTATAATTGTAATTAAACAGGAGAAAAGTTCTAAGTTTCATGCAGATACAAAGTGTTACTTCTCCTGTGGACCCTCCTGGATGTGGAAGGATCCATCTGTGAAGGATCAAGTTATCATCACTCTTTTYCTGATGGAACTATTACATAAAATATATGGTATATATTTTCTGAAAAATGCATAAGCAAATCATCAAAGCACCATGATTTTTCTGTACTTTTTATAAAAGATAAAAACATTTCTTTACTGAAATTACCTTTCCAGTATTGTCAAGCACTATTCCCTTGCAATGACCTTAATAAAATGTTCTTCATCGGATGACGATCATTCCTAGTAATAATTTACATCATTTCAGGTATGTTTGAGGAGGAGAGTCAGTATATAGGTAATGCATCAGAAGGACTTCACATGCTATCCTTTGTATGCCTTTGACTCCACTGCCCAGACACTGCACTGAAGATAACTTTAAAAGCTCTCTTGAGGTTGTGCCATCCAATGTGAAGTCCAGTGGGCACTGTGTCTCAGTGACTGGAAATTAGTGCTGATTTGTAACAGCAGCAATTATAGACCTATCCTGAAGAATGAAGTTACCCAGCCTAGAACCTAAGTACCATGTAACTACAAGGAGAGGGAGAAGACCATCTTAGTAACAGATACAAAGCATTAAAAATGGGTTCTTACAGTGATATGGACTGTTTGTGTACATTTCTGTGTCATACTGAAAACGTTTTTTTTTTTAACGTCAACTATAGGTAGGACAGAGAAGCAATGTTATCTTCAAACCAAGTACTCTGCTCAGAGCTGAGAAACACAAAAAAAAATGAGATGTCTTTTAGTTCTCATACTGTTTTCATTTTGGTCTCAACCAGCTTGTTATACTGACTGTCCAGAGCACAAACCTCCCATTAACTTTCAAGTAACACTTACAAAGTGATAAGCATAGAGAAAAAGGCACAATTTATTACAAAGGTAAAACTAAWACAGAGCTTCTTTTCCCCTGTCTCCAAAGTATTACTACTAATAAGAAATATGTTAACCTTCATATTTTTCTCTGGACTAAAAAATGAATTTGGTCCATAAGCTCTATATAATAATGTTCCTATCTGCTGTTGACCTTCATTATATGCTGCAATGTGTGGTGCCAGCACACTTGGAATACAGAGCAGTTTTTAATATCTGATCTCTTATTCTTGTCTTGTGCCAGGTTAATATTCTACACAGCTCCAACTCCAACTTTATGGACCATGTAAATCATATGATGGTACAGCCACAATTTCTCCAACCTGTCTACCACCCAGAGGGAAGCATAAGCGCTTCTCACAGCTCAAGTATGTGACAATCTTACAGAAACTGCTCTTAATGATTCTGMTATGTCAGTATTTCCCTTGTGATTCAGCCTAGTCAACAAATGATGCCCTGGAGTCCATAGTTATGCTTTGTACAACCTCACAGTTACATCAGTGCACAGATATAAAGGAAGGTAACATTTAATTCTCATCTTTCTGAGAAGGAGGTAATTTACAATTAAAAGCTAGTATCCTTRTTAAAGTCTTCATTAAAGGCTGTCTACGCCGACCCATCTAGTTAACAAAGACAGACATTTTTAGTAATAAATGGCATTAAAGGGTAATATTTATGCTCATATTCTCTTTGTACATCTGAATTTCTATGACATATTGATTTCTGTCCACCTCTTGCTGAGTGAAGGGATGGGTTTGTTTTCGTTTCAGTAAATAATTGCTGCAGTCCTTCTGTTAGCAGCTGTACAAACTTCAGTCTAGCACTATCTATATAGAAGCTAGGTCCACCTAGCCAAGTGTGGGCAAGAGGTATTAGCATATATTAAATCCAGAATTTGAATAAAATGTTTTAGCTCTGTATTTTAACGTATCTACCCATTCAGATATCCATGTATCTTAATATATATTTTCAATGAAACTAAATCCAGGCMAAAAATACTGGTTTAAATACTTAATCCTGAGATGTTTTTTAGCTATAGGATACCTATGTAAAGAGATAAGTTGATGCAACGTRTATAAAGTTACTAAGTACTTATTAAGAGAAAAATCACAAGCATTCTCTAGGCTTATACAGATATTTTGCTAATATCAGAACTGTTACTAACTAGTGTGGGGGTTTTTTTCTGTTTGTTTTGTGTTTTTAAACCGTAATATTTGAGAGAAACAATGCAGAGGTACTACATTCTTACAGGCAAAGCAGGAGAATATTATGGGGTCCAGAACTACTGTAACACATGACTCTCCAGTACCTGTGGGGCAAGGGTGCACAGAAAATGGCAGTGCTGCTGTACTAACCTGTACAGTTATGTATTAGCTATATAGCTAATAACATAAGGCTGGTTAAAAGAGTTCTCTGGGTCTTCCTGTCACTAGCTGGAAAAAGAAATTCCTCCAAGTGCAAGAGCTTAGTGAATAAGTCTGAGTTGCAAGACAACAAGGTTGTGATACATGGCAAATACCACTGCAAGGGCTTAAAATTTGAGATTGAAAGCATAGTACAAATGTTTGAGATATTCCTTTTCCTCACATGTGATGTTTACTCTTTGCTTCACTTTGTTTAGCTGTAATCAGGGATAATATGCTGACTAACTAACTTTATGGCTAAAACTGTTGTTCTGATTCTAATTGTTCTTGTACTTTTTGACTGCTTGTCTTCTGTAGTAAATTGATTTAAAGAGGTAGGCAAACTAACTTTTACTTAAGATTTATAATGCTCATTATTAGCACTCTGTAGCAATTGTAAATGCAGTTCACATATATTCTCTAGTAGATGGTCACTTGTCACCATCTCCTGTAGCTTCAGGCAGACAGCAGAAAGCTGAGTGTCTCAATCCAAAGGAAGAGGGTCTACAGACATAACTTAGACAATGGAGTATGCATTTAGTGATTTTTCTTTCAGACAATTTGTTCCACAGATACGATCCCACTGCCTTTTCTTTCAGTCGTTCCAAGCGTGGCTACTGTCGTTATCATAATCTGCGTGAGCGTACTCATTTTCATCATAGCCTTGGGGGTCTACAGGATTCGGACAGCTCATCAGCTCAGCTCCCCAGACAACGAAGGAAGTAAAGAAAATGAAATGGACTGGGATGATTCTGCTTTGACTATTACCGTCAACCCCATGGAGGTACATGAGACACGACATCACAGCATAGTAGTACCATGAGTTACTGTCTACAATGATAGCTTAGTAGTGAATTTTAAGGTCTTTTAGAGTACATTTATCTAGGTGTGGATTTGGCACTGCAGGTTGTACATGCATACATTCATGGCCTCTCTCAGTTTTTAACATTTCACTCCATGATAATATGTAATTCTGCACATAACATGTGTTGTCATATATAGTTACTAAATTAAACAGTATAGAATTCTTGGATACAAAACCATTTCCTTTCTACTCATTGTATATATTTGCACCCTAGGCTTTCAAGATTATATAGTGTACTTGCTTCTAATCTAAAAATGTAAACAATAATGCACTAAAAGAAGGAATTCAAAAAGCATCAGGGGAAATGATCAGTAATTTATGGAAAGTGACATTGAAGAATTAAATGTCAGCAGTTTGAATAAGCAACAGATATCTCTTATTAAAAGTTTTTGCTGTTTCGTTGTATTAAATTCCTGATGTTCACATAATGCAGGAATGCTATTTTTCTAGCATGTTAATTCTTCTCTASGTGAAACAACTGTGCACATTTGCACAGCCATCAGCTAACAAGTCGTGTCTCTCATGTCTTTAAATGTATTGCAGAAATATGAAAAGTCTCATCAGGCAGAAGAGGAGACTGAGGAGGAGGAAGAGGTAGAAGATGAAGAGGAAGACACAACCAGCGCTGAATCAGATGAAACTGAAGAGGAGGAGGAAGAGGAGGAAGAGGAGGAAGTGATTGTCCAAAAGGGAGACAAACAGAGTGTCACCAGGCAAGAGCAGCTGGAGTGGGATGATTCAACACTCCCATACTAAAAGCCCTCCTGCCACACTGATCCTTTTGTAAACACCAATACAATGTTTTTTTTTTTCAGAGTCTTTGAATTCATTGACAGAATTTGAACTTTTGCTTGCCTATAACTGTTTTTGCCTAAAATGATTTTGTTGTTTTACCTGGTAATGATAGAACTGACCCTCTTCCTAGGTGTGAGTTAAAAAGCCTGAAGAAAACACAGTACAAACATATTGGCATCACCAATAATAATCTGKGACTTGATCTATTAGCTAGTCCTCTATTTCCTGTTTCTCTACCATATATATGAGACAGAAGTCCTGTCACTCAAGCTATAGAGGTTTTTTGCCTTTGCTCTTTTTCATAAAGGAGTGATTTCAACCTGTTATGAAGAATACATTTGTGCKCCAAGTAACCCAGTTGCCATTTGGCTTCACAATTTTACACATGTAAAATGTAATTCACCTTCAAATTAGGGCAGAGTTCTAGTACTACAGGTGACAGAGACAGAATTCCATTTATATTCTCTTCTGCCTTCTTGGATGTTAACTGTCTTCTGCGAGGTATTATTATTTAGGACTTGCAATTACATGCCTGTGTGCCTGTGCAGATATGGACAGCTTATTTTTCAGAACTGCTGTCAGAACCTGAAAAGGCTTTTAGACAACCCACCCAGGAAAACTTATCAGGAAGTTTTAAAAAACCAGCAACAAGGGATGCTGGAGGTTACCAAAAAAATACCTATCATTCTATGTCCACAGACAAGAGTCTGTTGGTAATACTATCTTAGGCAAAACGCAAATTTTAATGGGAGTGATTGATTTACTAAAAAAAAGCTGTAGAGCTGCTCATTACTTATGGATTCAGCAATTTGCAGCAATGTTTTACACTCTGTCCTGTAAAATCACTATCTGGCTACAGTATTTTACCGAAGAAGCAGAAAATAACTGATGCCCATTATTCAATAGCTATGTGTGGTGGGGATTTAACAAATGATTTTACATGAGGAAAATGTTCCTTTTTGCTTTACTGGATAATGCCAGCTTGAATACCTGTCTAGTTTTATTCGAGAAACATTATGCCCTRTTTCTTCTGAATCCTTAACCCACCAAATAGGGGCACAACAGAACAAACATAGACAACTGTCAGCTCTCCTTCATACTTACAGCTCTTTTTTTCATGTTCCTGAAGCCATTGTCATCAAGAAAAGGTTTTATAAAGTAAAACAAGAACAGGTAAAACCTACCTGGTACCAAAAGAAGTTTAAAAAAAAAAAAAAAAGAACTCTTAAAAGCTTGTGAGAGTATTTTAGTTTGTTATGGTAACACAGCATATTTTTCTTAAGCACTGTTGAAAGAGTTAAAAAAAAAAAAGAAAACTATGTATAATGTGTTGGTAAGTCTGTGTGATGTGTTCTTTGTCCCCATTCCTTAATATTTTGTATCCTCAAATGATCTGCGTAACTATAGRTAAAGCACTTTCTAGGATAACTATTCTAATGCATAAAAACAAAATGAAATGGAAGTGAATGTTGCCTTGTGCTTTTCTGCTTTTTCCTAAGCATTTCCTTTGCTTAACAGTTTCATCATTGACTTTTGCTTCTGTTTTTGTTTATTGTGGGTTTTTTTGTGGGCTTTTTTTTTTTTTTGGTAATTTTCTGTTTAAGATGACCAATACCTCTTCCTCTTTCTCCCAAATAAAAATACTAGACAGTCTTGCCAAAACAGGACTTTATTGGGCGCCTGTGTTTGGCAGGTGATCTGCAAAGAGAAAAGCGGCAATTTGAAGGGTAGCCACCTCTCTCTCTCTCAGTACTTTCTTTTTTAGTCCCCTAGCTCCTGCAAAGCTGCAGTAGAAAGAATGCCTTGGGGAGAGTTGGGCAGAGGGGAGGGCTGGTCTCTTCAGTTATTTCAGTTGCTGAATCTCATAGCTGTGAGGACAGTGGACAGCAACTGGACCTTAAACGTTAATAACAAGAAAGAGAATAAAAAGACTCACCTAAATCTCCTTAAAAATTAGAGCTCTTTATGCTAAGGGACCTGGCAAATGACTGTTAAGACCGTGAACTGGCCATTTAGAGATTTTCTTATGTGTGTAGTCCCGTTTTATATTTATTCTTGTCTCTCACATGAGTATACAGGCATAATTACAGAATCAAGCCCAGACAAATAAAATGTCTCCACAGGAACCGAGATGGTAGATTATGCTGTAATTTCTGTTTATAGGCATGATATCTTGAACAAGATTTACATTAGACCATTAAAAATGGTCTAATGAGAATGATAAAATATTTAAGGGGGAGGTTATTTAATTTTTTTTTTTTTTGGTGGTGGTGACATGAGACAAGCCCTTCATAATGATTATTTTCACCATTTATCTAAGCAAAGTGTTCTGCTCAGAAAAAAATTTAATTACRGCTATACATTTAATGGTCAATGTAGGATTTAAAGCAAAACTGRAATTATTTTTAACATCTCTCTCATTTCTTATTGTTGTTAATATTATTACATTGTTATGGCATGTGAAAACAGCAACATGGAACCTTATTGGCAGCCTTCAATTGTTTTGTATGTTCATGGCATCACAGGGGTATTTCTCAACCTAATAGATTTTTATAATTTTTTTTTTTTACTGGAAGCAAATCCGTTCAGGTCAGAGTGGTACATTATACAAGAAGCAAACATGAAGTATTTTCTCTACTGTAAATATACCTACTTTTTCAGAAACCTGTGTTATCTCTAAAATTGGTGTACAACAATATTCAGCAAGCTGTAAGCATCATTGTACTTACTTTAGATTACTCATTGGGATGGTTTATGCAGCATTTTTCATTGAACTAGTCAGAAACAATCACAACATTTTAGAACAAATAGGATATTTCTTCACAAAAAATAATACCTTAGAATATTCCTACAGAATCTGACAGCAATGGCTTCATAAGAAGGACTCAGAAATTGGAAATAGTTTAGAAATATTTTTAACAATACTCCCTTTGCCCCCCCTTATGAATTATTTTTTGATGTAAATAAGTTGCTTAAATTCAAAGTGGAACACATACACACACATATTCTTGACTTTCAGCAGTCTCCAAAAAAAAAAAAAAAWAAATCTTTCTCTAAAAAAGGCTGATATGCTGCTAACTCTGAAAGGGCAACTTCAGGATATAATTACTGTTACTCTGGCTGCAAGGTTGCACTAGTAAGATGCAAAAATAAAGCTGTCTTGTTACAGTGATACTCATTAAGTTAAGCCAAAAAAAAAAAAGGTGTCTGAAGAGGCACCCCCTAGTACATGGCACCCAAAGTCTGGTTGCCAGAGTTTTAAATTGCCATCAGATCAGAGGGTTCCTTTCAAGTCTTGAAATTATAACCCAAGACTGGAAAAAGCTGCAAAATCTACAAGAGCAAGTTCAAGCCGGTGATATGCTATCCAAATTAATGTAACTGTCTCAATTGCTTTTTCTGATCATTTTTCTGATCATATTTCCTTTTCACTTCAACCCCCTTCCACAGGTATTTTATCTCGGCAAGCAAATCTAAAGATGCACAGTTATTGAGATCAATCTCAATATGTACTACATTGGCTGACACCAGTTCAAATTAGAAATAGACATGTAGGGTTCATGACATCTTTAATATTAACTAAAATAAAATGTTTTTGCTTGTTCTGGAGTATTTCTTCACTCAAACAGGCAATGGTATGCTGCAGTGGTGGCTCAACTGCTTTTTTAACTGGTGGGGAATCTCCCTGCTCTGAGGGCTAGTCTGCCAGCCCACTATATTTCCCTTTGCAGTGTGCTGTGGTGATGGGCTGGTGCAAGCATGCACGCTGGCCATGCTTTGAGCAGGAGGTAATTCAACTGAGAAGGAGTCAGAGGTTTATTAACAACTTCTGGTGAAGATGGAAGCCACCAACCTCTTAACAGCAGCTGTCCCTCTTAACCCTGAAGTGAGGCAAAATTTAAAAAAAAAAAAAAAAAAAAAAAAAAAAAACCCAAACTCCTAGGACATCAGTAGCCTCAGATTAAGGACTACTTAGGACAACCACAGTAGCCACCCTCACTTGAGTTTGGCAGGCCCTTCTGAGCCCTTTACCTAATTCAGTCTCAGCTGTCTCTTTCCCTGAATTGCACCCCCAGTGGCAGCACTGGGATTTTTTACCTGGCAGAGAATCCCAGAAGGCCAGGCCAGGCCATGTCTTCTATATGGTTTGGTGCCTCTGTAACCAGCCATGTTCACTAGAACAGGAAAAATAGAGAGCCTTTTACAGAGGTTACCAGGTGTATAGGTCTGGTGAGATGTGCTCACCTCAAAGGGTAGAGCAGCTCCTAGTATCCTAGGACAGACATTATTATACTTAAATTATAGCTATTTGGAATGTGAGAAAAGGAATAGAGCTAAAAGGCAGAAAAAGCCCTTCTTCCCCTCATTCACATACTGATTTGACTTACTATCTACACCAATTTTTGTATGCTTACTGAAAATGGCAATAAAACCTCTTAGCTGTTTCATTTCAAAAAAAAAAAAAAAAAAAAAAATCAATTTCCAGGAATCTAAGTGAAGGCAAAGGAACTAAGCACTAAAAAAAGAAGAAAAAAAATAACAAATTTTCTTCTTTGCAGAGTGTAGACTTTTTTAACTGGATATATACTGCTTCTACACTAATTTTTAAAAGGTACCAATAGGTTAACAGCAAGAGACCATCAAATCTGGCAGAAAAATGGGAGTAGCCAGGTTTGTATGATGGTGCGTTAACTATTGTTAGATACTTGCCTTCTGTTTCCTGATCAAATCCTGGGGTGAAAAAATAATTTCATGAAATAAAACATTTGACAAATTCTGATTCTGCAGACTAAGAATGCAGTGAAACAAGTAGAAGTTGCAAAAAAAATACATACCTCCCCTACTGCACATATGTCTATATACATGTTTGCCTATAAATTTTAAATAACAATATACAGCTTTGTATGTGTAAAATATACATATCAACATTAAAAAAATACACATATCAAGTTTTTTTAATGAAACTGTATAGAGTAAGGCATGCATTTGCAGTTGCTCTGAAAAGAGTTGCATATGCAGGCACACTGAGTTAATTTACTGCTTTTTAGCATCCTAGTCAGACACTGGTGCACCTGCTGACTAGTGTGTGGCACAGATGACAGGCCAGAGAGCTCTGTGTCTGTTCACTTTGGGGGGAGGGGGGGGGGGGGGTCGGGCAGGGGCTGGAAGTGTGATGTGGAAAATAGCCTTATTTGCTGTTTCACTTCTGATATTGTGAGTTGGAATTAACGCACCTCAGTCCCTGTAGCTGCTGTCCTTTCCTTAAGATCTGTTAAAAGGCTTCTGCTTTTTCTCTGAGAACATCTGGGCAATTCTAAGGAAGAGGAATAAATATAAAGGACTGTCAAAAAGACTGTGACAGTAAAAGCACTTCTGAAATTATTAATCATATTGTTACACAGCTCTATGCCATTTTTAACTATAACAGGTTTCTCATGTTTCAACCTCTACCAACAAGCACAGAATTGCATTATATTCCTGCCTCTTTAGGCTAAGCTGAGAAATGTCAAACCATATTGATGTCTCATTATCCACATATAGTCAAAGCTCCACATTTAAACAGTGTTAAGAATGAAAGCTGCTCTTCTCCCACAAAGAGCTGGATGTCATCACCACAAGCACTGAATGCTTCACCACAAGCACTGAATGCTTGTTGTCCAATCTGAGCAGGGATTTGCAGAGTAGTAGCCACAAGTTACACAGTGCACAAAAAAAAAAAAAAGAGTGATCCCATACAATCTGGTATCATTAGGTCACCCTCAAAAGGAAAAAAAAAAAAAAAAAAACCCATACATAAGGCAGACAGCCTTTGTGAAGTACATTGAGACCTACAAAAGACAAGCACTGTCAAAGAGCTTGGTATTACTCCCATTTGGCATTCTGGTGCAGCAATACCAGCATCCCTCCATTAACCACTTGTACACACACCAGGAACAACAACAGTTACAATCAAGAAGGTGAGACCAGTATACGGAAATAGTCACAATAGTTTGAACCAGCATTAACATGTAAAACATTTCAGAAAAAAAGCCTTTATGTGTCCTTTAAATTCCCTGACTCATTTGGAACTTTTGCATTTAACAGCTGTAGAAGCTCTATGTTTAATGTACTGCCTCTTTTAAAATGTGCTGTGACCAAAGGACCAGATGAGCTACTTCACTATTAAATACACTGTGTGACAGGACAGTAAAGCAGGTTTTACTAGACAAAGTATGGTCAGGAGCAACGAAGCCATCTCCAAGGAGGGAACAGACATTTACAACACTACGCCAACCTTACAGTAAAGCTCAGACACACATATTTTTCCAGGGCACAAGGGCCTTTGTGCTACTGTGACCCAGCATGACCATGGTCACCCAGTGGCTAAGATGTCAGGCTTTCAGAATTTCATGTTCTAATTGGACATGATGGTCTCTAAAGAAGTTTCTTTAGTCATATGAATCCATTAAAAAAGTTTTTTTTAGAAAAAGTTTATATACACACAC